AGAAGGAGAAGGAGAAGGAGAAGGAGAAGGAGAAGGAGAAGGAGAAGGAGAAGGAGAAGGAGAAGGAAGGAGGAGGAGGAGGAGGAGGGGAAAAGGCCATTGGGATTTTGCTAGGGATTGAATAGAATCTATAGATTGCTTTGGGAGGCAATAAGCTTAACAATGTAAATGAAACTGACTTTGGGGGTGAGGATGGGACCTTGCTATGGAAGGAGATGAGGGCAGGGAAAGGAAGAGGCTGGGGTAGAAGATGAGGTTCGCTTGGGAGTGGCTGTGACTGGAGATGGGGTTCTGTCCTCTGTCCCCTGGAGGCTGCACTGAGATAGTCACATCTCTGGGGTTGCCATTGGTTCAGTCGATGGTCAAGCAGCAGATTCCGCAGGTCCCTTTATCTCTAGAGAACGCATGGTGATGGCAGATCTCCAGTCCTCTTCCCTGGCCCTGCCCCAGCTCGGCTCTGGAGCTGGGGCAGATGTCAGACAGGATAGCTGTCACTTTGGAACTTGATGTCAGATTCTTTAAGAGCCAGGAGAGGAGAGATGACCCCTTCATTCCCCTAAATGCCTCCAGTAATAAGGCCACTTGAGCAAAAAGGAAGGTGTGGCATATACTTCAGAGCCATCCCCACTCTCCCAAGTTGAAATAGTGAATAATGCCTTATCGATGTGACCCTGCAAATCTTTTTCCAGGTTCTTCTGTATGTGACTACCTGCCCTGCCCGTCCACTCCCTGACCTCACACTCCCAGCCCAAGGACCAGAGTGTAGTAACCGCAGCTGATAGTATTCAGGTGCAAGAGACTGTGACAGGCAGTGACATTGTCTTTCCAGATTTGGAAATTCTTATTTGAATGAGTCGGCAAAACGGGAAATTTGCCAGGTTTCTGGGGGTCACTCGTGAAGCCAAGACAGGGACTCAAATGCCACAGGGATACCATGTCAACTTCCATATCAGCTTTTTAGTCGTTTATTCGAGGACACACAACTTGTACATCGCAGGCACTGATCTTAGGTTCAGGATCTGAGAGTCAGTGTGGAGGCCGACCCCGCAAAACTCACTGTTCTCATTAGGCTCAGAGGGGAGAGAGACTGCAAGAGATGGAAGGGCCCAGGAGAGGAGAGAGAATATAAATGAGAGAACAGGAAGAAGTTGTGCTGGGCACTAGGTGAGTGATCAATGGCTTTGGCATTGATTGATGTGATATCAGTGTCATTATCCTACTTGTTTCATTGATGTGCTGGATGAAAAAGCCCACAACCATCACTAGACCCTCAGGTAGACCATGGCCTCATTAGAATGAAGACAACAGGATGGATAAATGTTTTCACTCATCTCCTTCATGGAAATAAATCAGCTTTGTGCCTGACTATGCTTGATCTGAGAGACAGGGGAGTAGCTCTTCCTCAGTGAGAAGCCACTTGGGACCAGAACGTGGAGCCACTTCCCTTAGGGAGGCTGACAGTGCATTTTATTGCCTATTTTTCTTTTCGTTTTCTTTTCAGACTGAGTGTAAGCTGCACAGTGATGTACGATCTATTTTCCCCAGTGGACACAGGCCAGTGGTTAGTAAAATCGGGAACAGAGAAGGCTCTGAGCCCAAGATCAACTCTCTCGGGCCTGGCAGGGCCCCCATGCTGTTGGTGGCCTGAATTTCCGGCCCCCAGCACAGGGCTGAGTCTGATGTGTATGGGGTGGAGGAGCTGGGGAGTGGGGAGTTGTGAGGGAGGCTACCCAGGAGAGAGGTCCTGAGACCGCCCCCAGGGCATGAAATCCCACAGGACCCACATGAGCAACAGCATTACAGGCAGGGCAGAGAGGCTGCCTGGGGTGGGAGAGGCTCGAGCTTCAGGCTGATTTCTGACCAATTCACAGAAAGCCATTATGTCAAGACAGACATGTGGAGTTAGATACACCCTGAACACAGGGCTTTCATCATGCATGCATCCATTCATCCATCCATCCATACATCCGTCCATCCATCCATCCATCCATCCATCCATCCATCTATCCATCCATTCCATATTCCTCAGGCACCTGCTCTGTCACCAGCCCTATGGTAATCAGTGCTAAAGACACAGTGGTGACTTAGTCCCAGGACCTATCCTTCTGGTACTTATGTCCAATGGGGAACATAAATCATCCCAAACAATAGTGACTCACAGTGAGTAGGGCTGGAACAGAGGGTCAAGGGGATCACGATGGCTTCCTGGAGGAAGGGACATCAGAGCTATGACTCTAAGAATGAGCGAGAACTGACTGTTTCAAGGAGGCTCAGCCCTGGGAGGGCATAGGGTGGGGCAAATCACCCCGTGGGCCTCTGAGAGGATTCTGGACTTAACCTCATGGGGTCCTATGCAGAAATGGAAGTGGTGAGATTTGAGTCTGTGGAAGATCCCAGCATTTGTCTCCTGTGAGGGGGGTGGTCAGAGGGTTGAGACGGAGGCAGGAGGCCAAGGAGGAGGCTTCTGAAGCAGACACTGTGGAGTAACCAGAGTCCTAAATGTCTGCTCCCTCCAAGGGATGGGGGATGGCACGCTGTCCTGCCAGTACATTCTCCCCCGCTCTTCAGGCCTCTCCTCTCCTCAGCGAGCCGCAAGGTAGAGAAGTGTTCTCCAAACTGTGGATCATGACACTTGCCCAGGATGTAAGACCAACGAGTTTGTCACAACGGGTGCTTTAAACATTAAATTCTTGACTTGGATTCAGGTCATGATCTTGTAGTTCGTGGGTTCGAGCCCCGGCACCAGGCTCTGCGCTGGCAGCAAGGAGCCTGCTTGGGAGTCAGTCTCTCTCCTCCTCCTCCTCCTCCTCCTCCTCCTCCTCCTCCTCCTCCTCTCTGTTTCTGTCCCTCCCCCGCTTGTTCTCTCTCTCCCTCTGTCTTTCTCTCTGCCTCTGAATAAATAAACTTAAAAAAAATTGAAAAATAAAAAATGGATTCAGCTCCTCCATCCTTAGTCCCAGGTGTTTCCTGGGGAGGCTGAAGGTAGGCTCCACTCACCTGGAGTCTTCATGCCCCTCCCCTTTTAGCAGCACTGCCTCCTATGTTGCAATGGGAGATGAGTAGGTTCCCCAGGTGTGGGTAACGGTGTCTATCGAAGTCTCTGTATAAGGCCCCAGACCCAGCTCTTCTGCTGCCCTGCCATCGACTGCCCTGGAGCTGCATCGAGAACCATGGTGCCCAGGACCCTTGGTAAGGGCACTCCAGCCCCAAGCTTCTGTGACATCACACCCCTAATGCACCTCTGAACCTCAGACCTAATGCTCTCCTGCCCACCCATGCTTGGCTTCCTACTTGGTAATCACCCCCAGGTTATCTCTGACTTCATCGGTCCTAACCTGCAAAAATATTAGACTCAGCTCTTCCCCTGGCCCTCCGTGCCACCCTGAGTCAACATCCACCCTGAGCTGTTCCCAACAGGGAAAGGAGGTCAGTGACGTCACGTTGTGCACCCTGGTGGCGACCAGAAGGCTCCTCTCTCGCATTATTCGCGTTCCCCTTCTGCTTCTCAGCTGCTGTCTGGATTTCTGAACTCCTGAGCTCAGGCTCAGAGGGAATCGCAGGTGAGAGCAGGCGTAGCGAGAAGGGAAGAAGGGACGGTACTATGGATGGAGGTCCCAGACTAATCCTTGGAATCCAATCCAGCTCTGAGTCCCCCAGATCCTGGACTGTGGATGTCACAGCTGGTGCTCAGGTGTAGAGACCCCTGTTACCCCGTGGAGCAGTGCTGTGGTGAGGGGGCCTGACTCGGGGGTTCCAGGTGAACCTACTGACTTTGCTTCCAGCACTGTTTTCCCAAGTCCTTGAGCTCTCAGAACAGGCTGCTGGGAGGTTGAAGGTCCCAGGCATGAGGCTCGATTGCACCAGGATCTGTGCCCATGTGAGGGGTCTATTCACATTCAGGCCCAGGGAGGAAGGAGAAGTGGATGGAGTTTTGTCATCTATGGTCCATTCAGATGAGCAATGCCTGCTGTGTTCATAACACTTCCTTTTGGGTAACTATGAGTCTCCAGCATCTCCTTCTGTGTACTTCCTGCCCCTCCCCCTTCTCCTTCCCCTCTCTTCTCCTCTCGCTCAAGTTGAATGAAGAGTAGCCCAACCACCTTCCAGAATTGCTTTTTATCCAAGCCACCCTAGGAATCCAGTGAGAGCCCACCCCACACCCATTTAGCTGCTCATTCGTTCTCATCCCCACCCCTGACAACCACCAATGTGCATTCTGTCTCCATGGATTTTCCTACTAGTTTAGATATTTCGTTTAAATGGAATCAATCAGGGGCGCCTGGGTGGTTCAGTCGGTTGAGCATCTGACTCTTGGTTTCAGCTCAGGTCATGATCTCATGGTTTGTGGGTTCGAGCCCCACATCGGGCTCTGCATAGACAGTGCAGAGCCTGCTTGGGGTTTCCCTCTCCCCCCCCCTCTCTGCCCCTCCCCAGCTTGATCTGTGTCTCAAAAAATAAATAAAACATAAAAATTAAAGGGAATCAATCATACCATACATGACTTTTTATGTTACTTTCATCTTCCCCTTTGCATAATATTTTTGAGGCTTATCGACACTGTAGAATTTACCAGTACTAATTCCTTTTTCAAAAAGTGTATTTATTTTGAGGGGGGGGGGTTGGGGAGGGGCAGAGAGTGAGGGAGAGAGACAGAATCCCAAGCAGGCTCTTTGCACTTAGCACTCAGAGCCTGACACAGGTCTTGAACTCATGAAACCAGGAGATCATGACCTGGGCAGAGATCAAGAATCAGATGTTTAACCAACTGAGCCATCCAGGTGCCCCTACTTCATTCCTTTTTAGAGCTGAATAATATTCCACCCTGTCTATATACCACAATTTGTTTATCCATGCATCTTTTATTTATTTATTTATTTATTTTAATTTTTTTTTCAACGTTTATTTATTTTTGGGACAGAGAGAGACAGAGCATGAACGGGGGAGGGGCAGAGAGAGAGGGAGACACAGAATCGGAAACAGGCTCCAGGCTCTGAGCCATCAGCCCAGACCCTGACGCGGGGCTCGAACTCCCGGACCGCGAGATCGTGACCTGGCTGAAGTCGGACACTTAACCGACTGTGCCACCCAGGCGCCCCTCCATGCATCTTTTAATGGGCATTTGGGCTGTTCCCATCTTTTGGCCACTGGGAATAGTACTGTTATGAACATGTGTATATGTGTATGAGTACCTGTTCTCACGTCTTCAGGGTATATACCTAGGAGTAGAATTTCTAGGTCAAATGGCAATTCTATGTTTAGCTCTTTAAGGAGCTGTCAAACTGTTTTCCACGGTTGCTAAACCATTTTATATTCCTATCAGCAATGTACGAGGGTTCAGATTTCTCCACCTCCTTCCCTATCCTTGTGATTTTCCACTTTTCTTTTTATTACAGCCACCCTCGTGGATGTGAAGAGATAGCCTATAGTTTTAATTTGCATTCCCTTAATGAACAGTGATGAGCATCTCTTCATGTGCTGACTGGCTGTCTGTATGTCCTTTTGGAAAAGTGGATACTTTTTCCACTTTTAAACTGGGGTGTCTTTTATTATTGAGCTGTAGGAGTTTTTCAACAAATTCTGGATACTTACCTCTTATCATATACGTGATTTACAAAGACTTCCTCCCATTACGTGATTGTCTTTTCACTTCCTTGATATTTTTGTGTGCAGCACACAGGTTTTCATTTTCATAAATTCTATTTTTTTTCTTGGTCTCTTGTGCTTTTGATGTCATAGCCAAGAAAACATGGCCTAAACCCAAGGTCATTAAGATTTACTCCACTGTTTTCTGCTAATGATTTTATGGTGTTAGCTCTTATATTTAGGTCTATGATCAATGTGAAGTTAATCTTTGTGTATGGTATGGGAGAGATCCTTCTTTCTCTCCTTCTCCACATCCTTCTTATTCTCTTTTGCACACAGACACCCAGTTTTCCCAGCACCATTTGTTGAAAAGATTATTCTTTTCCCCAGTTCATTGTCATAGCACTTTTGTTGAAATTTAATTGACTGTAATTACACTGGTTTATTTCTCGACTGTCGATTCGGCCCATTGATCTACATGTGAGTCCCTTAGGTCAATACCACACGGAATTAACTAGTATAGCTTTGGAGTAAGCTTTGAAATGATGGCGCATCAGTTCAACAACTTTGTTCTTTGCTTTGGCTACTCTGGGTCCCTTGTATTTCAGTCTGAATCTTAGGATCAGCTTGCTCATTTCTGCAAAGAAACCAGCTAGCATTTTGACAGGAATGGCGTTGAACTTATAGGTCAATTGGGAGCACTGATGTCTTACCAGTATTACATTTTTCAACTCATGTACATTTATGGAGCTCGATTTATTTACATGTTCTTGAAATTCTTTCAACAGCTGTATTGTTTTCAGTGTGCCCGTTCTGCACTCCCCTTGTTAAATTTATTAACAAGCATTTTATTATTGTTGGTACTATTGTAAGTAGAATTTTTTTTTTAATGTTTATTTATTTTTGAGAGAGAGACAGAGTGTGAGCAGGGGAGGGGCAGAGAGAGAGGGGGAGACAGAATCCGAAGCAGGCTCCAGGCTCCGAGTTGTCAGCACAGAGCCTAACACTGGGCTCAAACTCATGGACCAGGAGATCATGACCTGGGCCGAAGTCGGATGCTTAACCGATTGAACCACCCAGGCACCCCCGTAAGTAGAATTATTTTCTTAATTTCAATTTCAGATGGCTCTTTGCTAATGTGTACAATGGGCTTTTATATGTTGGCCTTGCATCTTGAAACCTTGCTTAGTTCATCTGTTAGTTCCGTAGTGGCCTGAGTAGCTTCCTTAAGCATTGTTAACGTACTAGATGATCGTGGTACTTGAAAACAGAAATCGTTTCACATCTTCTTTTCCAATTTGAATGTTTTTTCTCTTGCGGAATTTCTCTGGCTTGAACTTCTAGTGCAATGTTAAATCGAGTGGTGAGGGTGAATGTACTTGTCCTGTTCCAGACGTTGGGAAGAGGTGCATGCAGTCTTTTGCCATTAGGTACAGTAAGCTGTGGGTTTTCTTGTAGATCAGGTTGAGGAAGATCTCTGGCTTCCCAATTTGTTCTTTGTTGTTGTTACTATTTTAATCACAAAAGAGTATAAATTTTGTCAAATGCCTTTTCTGTATCATTTGAGATAATCATGTTTCCCTCTGCCCATATTCTACTAATAAGGTTTATTACATTGAATGATTGTCATATGTTGAACCAACCTTGCATTCCTGGGACAAATCCCACTTGGTCATGGTGTAGAATCCTTTATATAAGCTGTTGGATTTTGTTTGTTAGTATTTTTTCTTGAGAATTTCTTAATTTATATTCATAAGAGATGTTGGTCTATAGGTTTCTTTTCTTGTGATGTCTTTGGTTTTGATAGTAGGGTAATATTAGCCTCATAAACTGAGTTGGGAAGTTCTGTTGTTTTATTTTTTGAAATTTATGGGGCACCTGAATGGCTCAGTCGGTTAAGTGTCTGACTTCAGCTCAGGTCATGATCTCATGGCTCGTGAGTTTGAGCCCCATGTCGGGCTCGGTACTGACAGCTCAGAGCCTGGAGCCTGCTTCGAATTCTGTGTCTCCCTCTCTCTCTGCCCCTCCCCTGCTCATGCTCTCTCTGTCTCAAAAAAACAAAAAAAAAACAACCCAACATTCTTTTTCGAAGTTTATGAATGACTGGCATTAATTTAAGGATGGTTTTTTTCTTGGTCATTTTAGCTACAGTTTTGTCGACTCTGTTAATCTTTTCAAAGAACACACTTTTAATTCTATTGATTTTCCGTGTTGTTTTTTCTATTCTCCATTTCATTTACTTTCCTTGGTATCATCACTGTTTCCTTGGTTCTGCTCCCCTGGGTTTGTTTGCTCTTATTTTTCCAGTCAGAAGACTGAATTATTGCTTTGAGATCTTTCTTCTCTTATCAAATAGGCGTTACGTCTATAAGTTCTCTGCCATCACTGCTGTAAGCTGTATGCCATATGTTTTGATACATGGTGTTTTCGTTTTCATTTGTCTCAAACCATTTTTGAATTTCCTTTGTGACTTTAGATTTCCTTGACCCACTGGTTATTTTACTTAGGAACTGGCTCTTATATTGCTGCATATTTGTGAGCCTCCCAAATTTCCTTCTGTTATTTACTGCTCCTTGAATTCCACTGTGGTCAGAGAACGTACTTGGTATGGTTTCAATCCTTTTATATTATCGAGGCTTTTCCTATGGCTTAGAATATGGTAGAGCTTATAGAATGTTACACGTGTACTTGAAAGAATGTGTATTTTGCTATTTTGAAGTGTTCTACAGATGTTTGTTAGGTTTAATTGGCTTCTAGTGCTTTTACAAGTATCCTATATTCTTTTTTTTTTTTTAAGAGAAAGAGAGCAGGAGTTGGGGAGAGGGGCAGAGGGAGAAAGAGAGAGAGAGAGAGAGAGAGAGAGAATGACAAAATCTCAAGCAGCTCCATGTTCAGCTCAGAGGCCCATGCAGGGCTCGATCCCATGACCCTGGGATCATGACCTGAGCTGAAATCAAGAGTCGGACACTCAACAGACTGAACCACCCAGGTACCTCCAAGTATTCTATACTCTTGATGACCATCTATCTGCTGTTTTGTTCTATTATTGAAAATGGGGTGTTGAAGTCTCCAGCTATTGCTGGATTATCTATCTTTTTTTGTTTGTTTGTTTGTTTGTTTGTTTGTTTGTTTGTTTAGAACTCAAAACCTTTATTTGCACTGCAAAAGGGAAGAAAAGTGATTGGTAACCGCGTGTGTGATGCAACAGAATTAGTTCTTACCATAGAGAGCAACACATCAGCACTCTAACCACCTACTCTTACAGCTCTGATTTCACAAGAGCATACATACCCAAACATATTTCCCCACACGTGCATGACTAATACTCGCTAAGTTCCAGTGACCATAACTGTATTACACCTAGGTCACTGGTAAAGAACTGAACTATCAGGCCAATATTTTTAAACATTAAAAAAAAAAAGGCCCAGAAGGCAGAAAAATCCCAAGGGAAAAAATTATTGGGGATTTTAAATTTTTTAAGTGAAATTTGCTTAAAAATTTTTTATGTTTATTTACTCTCTCAATAGAGACAGACAGAGCGTGAATGGGGGAGGAGCAGAGAAAAGGGAGACACAGAAGCTGAAGCAGGCTCCGGGTTCTGAGCCGTCATCACAGAGCCCGATCTGGGGCTCGAACTCACAAACCGCGAGATCGTGACCTGAGCTGAAGTCAGACTCCCAACCGACTGAGTCACCCAGGTGCCCCAGGTGCCCCAATTTTTAAAATGAAATTTAAAGGGACGAAGGACACGACAAAAAGCCACTGGTATTACTTTACCAATTCAATAGATGCATCTCAGAAATGACTATTATCATAAAGGGGTTTCAGATCTTTCCCTGAATTTTTATAAGCAGACCACATCTGGTAAAGGTCCCACTGCCCCAGTTTTGCTTTACTCCCTAAACTGATTTTGGCCAGTAGTTTCCCCTCTAGTACTGGGTCATCTCAGAAGTACCTTAGGGCCACCTCGGTAGCTCAGATGGTTAAGTGTCCGACCCCTGGCTTAGGCTCAGGTCATGATCTCACAGTTCATGAGTTCGAGCCCTGCATGGGACTCTGCGCTGACAGCACAGAGACTACCTGGGATTCTCTCTCTCCCTCTCTCTCTGCCCCTCTGCCCCCTCTGAAAATAAATAAGTAAACATTTTTTTTAAAAGCACATTAGACACACAAGCTGACAGGTGGGGCCCATCGGGAGTGTCCAGATCCAAAGACCTCAGTTTACCCTAAGCTTCCCTCTACCTGGGCTGCACGCTCAAGTGCCACCTGACATGCCATCCGTTACTTACCGTTAACATTATTATGATCTGCCCTTGAGCCATATGCTCTTCGGATCCTCACAACAATCCATGGGGGGAGAAATCCGCAAACTGTCACTCTCCTCTGGTTCCCTGCCTCGAGTTCATGGAGCCTGCGCCCTTCTGCTAGATCACGTGATGACCGTGAGCAGGGTCCCAAATAGCTCTCCAGAGAGTAAATAAAGTGGTTTGGGACAGAGTTGCTTGAAAGTTCTAAGGATAAGGTACCTGGGAGACACAGAAATGGCAGGTGTTTTGTAGGGGAGGAAACTTAAAACAAATGGAGAAGCCATCCTCTCTGCATCCTCACTAATGCTGGGGCCACCACGCGGAGGAAACCGCACTCGCTACCTGATATGCGGTAGCCCAGGAGGTGGGGGCTCAGGTTATGGAGGAACAGGACACTTTCCATCTGCAAGTCGTAGAAGATGGACCCAGACCTTCGCCTCCTGTTTTATCCGTATGATCTCATGGTTACCTGCCTCTGTGTGCTTTCAAAGCTAGGACAGCTGTGGAATGCGTGAACTTGGGCACTAACCCGGTCACGTGATTGCATTTATAAACACCCTTCGGGTCGCCTCTGTTCTTTCCCATTTCCTGCATCTCTCCAACTCCATCCCTAGTCGTGGGGGGGGGGGGGGGGGGGGCGGGCAGAAGGCGCAATACAGGTAAGGGGAGCTCCAAGTCCAAGACCCTTTCAAGCCCAGCCGGATCCCCAAAGCAGCCCTGCACCCAAATTCTCTCCTTGTCAATCTTACCCCAGCTTCCTTCCTCTTCCTTTCCATCCTCTGGGTATCTTTAACACCTACCCCACCCCCTCTCCCGCCTGGGAAACTCCACTGCATTCTTAGAATCCTAAGCTATGGCATCCCAACTTTTTCTTGCATTCACTCCCCTTTAAAGGGTCCAGACTGCTCGGACCCAGCTGTCTAGACTCTTACATGCATCAGGAACTAGCCCTTAGGCAGAGGTGGCCCCAGACCCAAGCCTGTAGAGCAAATCTGGAGCCAAGCCTTCCCCATACTGGCCTGCCCTCCCTGAGGCCAGTCAACCCAGTGGCCGCACTCCCGCCCCATCCTCAACCTCCTTTCCCTCTCCTCCAGCTCCTGTGTGTGTATTAGTCTTTCTTCTCCTCCAGCACTCAAAGACTGTCACTGGTGAGTACCAGGATGGGGAAGAATGAAGAGGGACGAGGCTCCCCTTGGGAAGTGGGGTCACGGTTCACAGAGGGCTCCTGACTGGGGGAGTTAGTGCCGGGACCTCCTTGGGCTCACACCAGCAATCTCTGCCCAGATGCCCCCGTGGGCCCAGGGCTGTGGCTATGTCAGCAGGCACCCAGGTGTGGGGACAAGATCTACAACCCTCTGGAGCAGTGCTGTAATGATGACACCATCCTGCCCCTGAATCGGACCAACCTCTGTGGCCCTAATTGCACCTTCTGGCCCTGCTTTGAGCTCTGCTGTCCTGAGTCCTTTGACCCCAAGAAGTATGTTGTGAAGTTGAAGGTTCTGGGTGTGAAGTCTCGATGCTATTCCTCCCCCATCTCCGGGGACTGTGCCAGGTAAGAACCTTGCCCCTGGCTGAGGAAAAGAGGGTAGGGATGAGGAGAAAGGAGGAAGGGAGTGTGGGTGTCTAGGCCATTCCTTTTGAGGACACCCTGCTCACTTAATCTCCAGCAGTGACTCAAATCTTATCATTCATCCCCTTGTCTGTGCTTCATAACTTATTGGTTCCTCCTTCTTTGCAGCAGAAAGATGTTTTCTCATTTGGAAAGATATTGAAGACAATAAATTTCCACTAAGGCAGCTTGGAAAGGAAGGCTGGGGCAGGCATCAGCATCTGTGCAATGAAGAGCCTGGGATTTCCACCTTGGAGAGACCTTAGCTGACTGCCACTTGGTTTTCCCAGTGTGCTCCATTTTAACGTCTGCCCATTATCTCTGTCATTGCTCCCTTGTCCTTCGGTCCCTCTGTCCTGATTCACCACCCTTGCTGATACGTGTTAACCAATCACCTCACGGAGGTGCCGTGTACCATAGGCACCCGTGATTCTTTGGTTGCTCTATGAAACCCCTTTTGCTATTAAATATCCATGGGATTCTGTTGCAAAAATAATGTGCTCTTCAGACTCGTAACTTCTCTGGAGAAGATTTTCCAGCATGTATCAGACTTGCTTGTACTTCTGTATGGCCTCCTAACTTAAGAGATATGACAGATGCCAGTAGGCCTATTGGGCAACTCCTAGCTGCTGAGTTCATTATGGTTCGAGTTGCTAATGGCATGTGGGAAAGAGTCTTCATTCTTTCAAGAGCAGAGTAGAAGGATCTAGTAAGGCTCATAGGCTTCACCCTTAGAGATAACGCCCAAGAGAGATTACTACATTGTTCTGTGTCCAGCCCTTGGGAAAGAGGATTTCTGATTGCCTTAAGTTACCTGAAGGGGTAACAGAAGTGTCATCAAAATGGTGAAATGGAAGTTTTCTACCATCTTCCCCTCAAAGAGCATTGATTTTGACGATCACCTACCATTCAAGAGTTTAGCTCAGCCACTCCACGGTGTTGGTGCCTCAAAATCCTTTTTATTTGGCCAAGCAGCCTTCAGGGAACCTTAAACTGGCACCCTCCCCCATTCCCCCGTGCAAGTGCATACCCCACATAAAAGCCCGCCGAGTCAGAAGCAAATCTAAGCTCCTGATTTACCTAACAGCACTTAAGGTCAACAGTCTCCCTTACCCCGCAGGGCCTTCCCCTGGGTGCCCCTTAGATAAGATCCCTGTGGACCTTACCGAAACACTGCCCTTTATGGTTTAGATGGACCCATCTGGCCTTAGCCCAGGGACCCCAAAACATTCCACTCAGACCTAAAGAAAGGCATGTGCCCAGAGTCCTGCCTCTCTCTCTCTCTCTCTCTGCCTGCACCCTGCCTTGACCACCTCATGTGGCCCCTTGCGTCTTGCCATGTACTTCTTCTAGAACCTGTAACAAATTATTTATTTCAATTTCTCTTGTGATCTTTAATTGAACCTTGGCTTACCAGCTAGTTGGCCCTCCATGCTCCGCTTAACAACTGTTAATTTAACAAAGTCGTAACACCCACAAACAAGGCTGCCTTTGTGGAAATCTGGGGTCCAACACAGAAGTTCCAGCACACCACTGGAGGGGAAAGAAAGGAAGGAAGGAAGGAAGGAAGGAAGGAAGGAAGGAAGGAAGGAAGGAAGGAAAAAGGAAAGCTAAGATTGGCCACACTGGAAAGGGTAAGAGAAACCATTTCACCCGATTCTCATTACACCTCCCCAAAGGCAGCACAGTTGAGCGCCTGGAGAGACCTTCTCAGGCTGTGGTTTCTCCCATGGGGAAGGTGAGAGCCTGTGAGTAAGCACGTGGCTTCCCCAGCTGTGTGGAATGGTGCCAAAGAGATTAACCTCTTCCTTACCCCATCCAGAGATCGGAGGTGTGCTACATGACTGGGGAACGGGGAGAGGCTGGGAGAAGCGAAGCTAGGGTCTTGAGGGCATAAAGGTGCTACAGATCCTACGAATTACTTTGCACACACCACCAGGAAGCCCACCCGTGAGCTACTGGGGATGCCTCACCTGTAGATCCCTCCAAATGGCCCACAGGCACCTCCAATCCCGTGTGCATCTCTACCCACCCCCCACACACTCATCCTAGTGCATGCCCCGGGGGGGGCCGGGGGGGGGGGCAGCCAGTTCACATTGGTTTTGCATACAGCTAGAGAGCACATGTAGGACACTGATCCAGCTCTGCAGGATGGGTAGAAGGCACACAAACTTGGGCATTCAGCTCTGCCCAGGAAAAACAAATGGGAGGCTGTCAGCACCTGGCCTGCCTTTCCAGTATCAAGAGAAGGCACCCAATTTTAAGAATTCCACCCAGGGGCGCCTGGGTGGCTCAGTCAGTTAAGTGTCCGGCTTTGGCTCAGGTCATGATCTCACGGCTCACAAGTCTGAACCCCGCTCAGGCTCTTTGCTGACAGCTCGGAGCCTGGAGCCTGGAGCCTGCTTTGGATTCTGTGTCTCCCTTTCTCTCTCTCTCTCTGCCCCTACCGCCACTTGCTCGCTCTCTCAAAAATAAATAAACATTGAAAAAAATTAATAAAAAAAAAAAGAATTTCACCCAAAGCAGGAACAAGTAGTGTGGAGCAGGAGGATCCATAGAAAAGGTCTAGGGGCACCTGGGTGGCTCAGTTGGTTAAGTGTCTGACTCTGGCTCAGGTCATGATCTCACGGCTCGTGGGTTCAAGCCCCGCGTCGGGCTCTGTGCCGACAGCTCAGAGCCTGGAGCCTGCTTCGGATTCTGTGTCTCCCTCTCTCTCTGTCCCTCCCCCACTTGCGTGCTGTCTCTCTCTCAAAAATAAATGAACTTAAAATAACATTTTAAAAACGTAAAAAAGAAAAGGTCTAAGAAAGACTCAGAATCCCTAACAGGATCGATGGAAGGTATTTCCCAAAGCCAGTCAGTAAGACTGGAAGAGGTGACCGCTTCTTCCAATGCAAAGACAGCAATGCCAGGATTCAAGAGACATGGAAAGTCAAGGAAACAGGACACTGCAAGTGGAACACAGTGACTTTCTAGTAACTAGTAACTGACCACAAAGAAATGGAAACCTGCTATTTACCTCCCAAAGAATTCAAAATGGTTGGGCTTTTTTTTTTTTAATTTTTTTAACATTTATTCATCTTTCAGAGACAGAGCATGAGCGGGGAAGGGGCAGAGACAGGGAGGCACAGAATCCAAAGCAGGCTCCAGGCTCTGAGCTGTCAGCACAGAGCCCAACACGGGGCTTGAACTCACAGACTGTGAGATCATGACCTGAGCCGAAGTCAGACACCCAACTGACTGAGCCAACCAGGTGCCCCGAAATGGTTGTTTTAAAGAAGCTCCATGAGCTACAAGAAAACACAGAAAGACAATTCAATGAACTCAGGGAAACAATACACTATCAAAGTGAAAAGTCTGACAGAGAAATAGGAATCATAAGAGAAATTCCAGAGCTGAAGAAGTGAATGAATGAAGTGAAAAAAATGAAATAGAGAGCATCAGTGGCAGACATGATCAAGCAGAGGAAGGACTCTGTAAAGTGGTAGACAAGTCGGTCAAAATGATCTAATCAGAGGAGAAAGAAGAAAAAAGAAAGAAAAAGAGTTAAAAAGTTTTTTTTTTTAGGTTTATTTATTTGAGAGAGAGAAAGCACACATGGGTGTTGGGCAGAGAGAGGGGAGAGAGAAAATCCCAAGCAGGCTCCACACTGTCAGCACAGAGCCCAATGTGGGCTCAAACCCATGAACTGTGAGATCGTGACCTGAGCTGAAACCAAGAGTCAGACACTTAACTGACTGAGCCACCCAGATGCCCCCCAAAAAGAGTTTTAAAAACCTAAACTGTGAGGGGCACTTGGCTGGCTTAGTTTGAGGAGCATGCAACTCTTCATCTTGGGGTCATGAGTTCAAGCCCCACATTGGGGGTAGAGATTAATTTAAAATAAAATTAAAAATTAGAAAAAAAAAACAAACAAAACTTTAAAAGCCTAACCTGTGAACAACGGGATGCCATCAAAACAAAACAAAAAAATGCATCATTGGAGTAACAGAGAGGGAGAAAAGAGCAAAAAGCTTATTTAACAAAATAATGGCTGAGAATTTCCCAAATCTGGGGAGAGATTCAAGCATCCAAGTTCATGAAGCTCCTAACCCACCCCCCAAAATTTCAACCCAAAGAAATGTTCTCCAAGATACATTATAATAAAACTGCCTAAAATCAAAGATGAAGAGAATTTTAAAAGCAGCAAGGGAAAAAAAACTCCTCACAAATAAGGGAAATAGCCTAAGTCTATGGTGGATTTTTCAGTTTAAACTTTGCAAGCCACAAGAGAATGAGATGACATATTCTACGTTCTGGGGGGGAAACAATCCGCCAAGCAAGAGTACCTTACCCAGCACAGGTGTCCCTCAGAAAAGAGTGAGATAAAGACTTTTTCCTAGACAAACAAAAGCTGAGGGAGTTGATCACCAGTAGATCTGCCTTCAAGAAATGCTGAAAAGAGTATTTCTTTTTTGTTGTTGTTGTTGTTAAGTTTTATTTATTTATTTTTAGAGACAGAGTACAAGTGGGCGAGGGGCAGAGACAGAGAGAGAGAGAGAATCCCAAGCAGGCTCTGTGCTGTCGGCACAGAGTCCGACTCCAGGCTCAAAATCAGGAACCATGAGATCCTGACCTGAGCTGAAATCAAGAGTCAGATCCTTAACCGACTGAGCCATCCAAGTGCCCCGCTTTCACTCATGTTAACTAAACTCAGTGCAGTAGCTGTTTGACAATTTATGTAAATCAAATCATTATGCTGTACACCTTAAGCTTCTACAGTGATGTACGTCAATTATATCTCAGGAAAAGTGGGGGCGGGGAACGTAAATATCTTGAGACAGACAGAAATGGAGACACAATATACCAACATCTATGGGATGGCAGCAAAAGCCGTTCTAAGAGGGAATGTGATAAAAGCCAACATTAAGAAAGTAGGATCTCGGGGCGCCTGGGTGGCGCAGTCGGTTAAGCGTCCGACTTCAACCAGGTCACGATCTCACGGTCCGTGAGTTCGAGCCCCGCGTCGGGCTCTGGGCTGATGGCTCGGAGCCTGGAGCCTGTTTCCGATTCTGTGTCTCCCTCTCTCTCTGCCCCTCGCCCGTTCATGCTCTGTCTCTCTGTGTCCCAAAAATAAATAAACGTTGAAAAAAAAAATTAAAAAAAAAAAAATTAAAAAAAAAAAAAAAAGTAGGATCTCAAGTAAACAACCTAACTTTACACCATAAGGAACAAGAAAAAGATGAACAAACTAAGCTCGAAGTTGGCAGAAGGAAGAAAATAACAAAGATCAGTACAGAAATGAGTGAAATGGAGACTAGAAAGACAATACAAAAAAAAAAAAAGTCAATGAAACTAAGAGTTGGTTTTTCGGAAAACAGACAGACACAACGGACAAACCTTTAGCTGAACTAATCAAGAAAAAAAAAGAGGACTCAAATAAGAAGTATAAATGAATGAAGAGGCATTGCAACTGACACCAGGAAAATACTGTGGTTCTTAAAAGACTACTATGAA